GACTTAATGTCATGTCCGGCTCTTATTTTGCTGGCTGCTTAGCATAAAGACAGCTCTAATTTCCAGGTTTACCATGTTGCTTCTCTAACTACAACTGTTACTTTATTGCGCATATTTTGCATCTCTCAAAAAATTCTGCACATAAATTCCCAGCTCTTCTGCTGTTTCGCGCGGAACAAAAACAATGTGAGCATGACAATTATAATAATTCCATACTCCTTTGCTTTCTTTGTTACGCAGATTGTTACCAAATAATTAACCGAAAAAAGACTAATTACCCAGTAAAATAATATTGGACAAAAACTAGATTGTGTTTATAAAAAGACTGTTTCTTAATTTATCATTCTGTGTTTCCTTGACGTAGCTTGGTAATTGTTGTTGGACATTGTTCGGGTGGCTTCCTTTTACTCGAGTGTTTGAAAAAGGTCTAATTAGTAATCCGAAATCTTCACATCAGTGCGCACTTTCTTTGTTGTTTCAAGTACTATGTTGGTTAGAAATGGACATATTAATATTTACGCTAAAGAACCTGGACAATCTCGTTTCAGAGAGCATTGAACAGTTCCCCCCTAAATTAGGGTTATGTTCTGTTGTCAATCAAAGCAAGCCCGATTGGCTGTTTAGTTCATACCTGTACCTTTTTATTGTAACTTAATTATGTTTTAAAGAGATTAAAGGTAATTGTTAAACAAAATCTAGTGTACCGATATATCAATGTATGACCAAACAATGATGATACTCATTCACTCGCAAATTACAATTACTCCGTGGTATTTAATAATGTAGGTTCGCAAATACTCGACTCTAATTGCATTGTTGCAAATTCAAAATTTTGATTGGCAAAAGCGAAAGCATGTAGACTATGTCATAAAATAACAACAATAGCCATAAAAGCCCATATTAAATGTAAGCACCACTACTTGGCCAATCGTTTTTTAATTAAATAATATATGTTGTTAATTATTAACTTAAATATTGGGCCAGTCGGAGATGGGGGAGATTGAAAATTAGATGCAAGGAAAGCAATAATACAGTGTAAACAATCAACAGCCCTGAACCCCTGAAATCCGTCACCCGTCAATATTTAGAGATAATTGTATGAAAAAAAGTCTTTCCCGAGTTGTTAATCAATTTCACGTGCGTGGTTGATTACAAAAGTATTTAGTTTAGAGGAAACAATTGAAGAAGCATGTTATCGGATAATCGGTAACATCGTGTGATCAATTAAGCAAAAGTAGAATGTGACAAGCAAACTTAAGGTTCCGTCAATGTATTGCCGCCTTGAGGCACAATACAGAAGATGCGATAATCTTTACCGAATTAACGTTAAGCGGGTAGTCGTTGATATGATGATGATTGTGACGATTGTTATCATGGCGAATCTTATTAATTAGGCTAAGCGGGTAAAAGTCCCGGTAAATTACTGCGCATTTGATGTTATTATTATTGTATATTAGTATATAATTACTGCACGTGCCGATTCATAATAATAAAGCACAATCACATGTTAGAAAAGATTCTTTGGCGAGATTACAAAGATTACAAGCTGACTACATGCAGAAACAATGTCGTCCAATCGACCACCCGCCATTGATGAGCCAAGTGAGCTAATCAGATGACGACAAGAACCGATATAGTTAAATGTCTTTTCATCGATTTCCCAAGCACAAGACAAAACTTAAAGACATAGCCAAAACATTTTCGATTAACAGTGACCACGTTCTAGTTTTGGTTGAAAGAAAAAAAAAATTTTTTTCCTTTTCTTTTGTAGAACATAGGGAAAAACTATTTTATTGTCTCAATGCGTTTTTGTTTACAGGATAACGATTGGGCGTAGAAACATATAACAACAAAATCACATTATCCACTGAGAGCGCAAGGTTTTATTTCATCAAATATGCAAAGAAACAATCAGCCCAAAAGCTTAAAATTAAGGATTGGGATTAGAGTTGGCAACAATCGGATAAGCGATGACGATAAGCGGAAATGTCCAGAACTTGATGCAGCGATAGTAAAAAAGTAATGCAATTGCTATAATAGTATAAGCAATGACATGCATGTGGTTTATTACGGTGCAGAAACAAGTTGTTTCAATCAGAATACGACTATTGTGTTATTGACACAATAACGTCAAAAAGTTGCTTCTTCTCTAATACAGTTTGACGTAAAACCTTTCTCGATACATAAATAAATACGTACATAAATATACACACAAACACATCACACATACACATACACATACACATACACATACACATACACATACACACATAAATACAACTATTATTATTTCCATTATTGTTGAGGCTGAGGTCTTATTCATCATTGTAGAAACAAAGGCGCAAATAGCCCTAAATAAGACGCAGCGAGCCTGTCATAATCTCCGCATAATTTCATCCTTATCAAGGAGAAAAAAAACTCTATTGTCCATCTGCAGCACGTGTAACATTTGGTCTCTAAATTTATCCAGTCATTTCTGTAACCTTCAAGACATTCACAACAATGTCTTCCGATTTCTGTACATTCAGCCACGCAACACAACAAAGCGTCATATTGTAACCGGATCTGCTGTCAACTGAACTTGCAAAATTGACATCCAGTCGATTGTTCTTAAACAAAACTCGACCGACTAATAAATAGGTGGCCTCTTCGCTATGAACTGTCACAAACTCGACATCATTTTTTTGCCCAAATCAAAAATAATTTCAATCTGAACCTCACTGTTCTCCCTCGCCAACCTTCAAAGAAGAAGAAAATACGGATACGTGATCACTGTAAATATGTATATAAAGCTTTTTTAAACAACGATCATCGTATGTCGAAATATTCGTCGAGTACTCGTCTCGCTCTCTCTCCGTCGGCGGCAAACGTTCTCCCTAACCCGTCGACCAACAATCGAAAATAATAATTGGGCAAATAGAAAGTAATCTCTCGGCTTGCTCGAAGTGACGAAGATTACGTTGTATAGAATTATAGACAACAGACATTACACCTTAATACTGTACATACTCTCACTTCCTCTTAATCATTAATAATCATTACCACATCATCTACGCCTCCAACCATCAAAAAAGACATTCGCTCTGTCCATTCTTTCGAGGCAAAAACTTATTCGTCCGTATCGGCTTTATTTGATTCTATGGATCTAGTTTGAGGCGGTTATATATGTATATTTATATGTATATACCCTCTCTTTATAATATGGGTGAGGTGCCTTTATCGCAGTATATCGTTAAGCTTTATGAGCGTAATGGATGTTCGGTATTCTCTATTGTTGATTGTTATCCAAAAAATTTTATAAAAGAGCGTTCGATTAATCGACGTTCAAAATACTGTTGACGTTATTACGTATATAGATTTCGATATATATGTTTCAATTCGGATATAAATTTCTCCCAATTATGACTTCTTTTTCGAGCCATCACATTATTAACACAAATTATCATAAAGTCCCCTTCATCCCCCCCTTCTTTCACCCCTTCCCCTTCCTACTTCGAATCCCCGTTTTAACTTCCTCTTCGTCGTTTTATCTGTTTATATGTATATAGTTTTTGATATATTATAACTTTGGCTTCCCCCCTACACATGCTTTGTATTTGTTAATCACTTTTTAACGTCCCTCTCCCTACGGTCGCGAGGTTTTACATAAGGATTAATATGAACATACAGAAATGCTTCTTTATGAACCAAAAATAAATATTTTCAAATATGTCTTCGTCCTTCAATGAATTTTTTGAATGTGACATCTGTGCTATTATAATACAGTTGTGTCACGTCGCTCGCATCGACTTGAAAAGGAGTTAATTAAAAGGCGGGCAGTACAGATAATAACTGATAACGTTGATAAAACAGCCAAGTCATTTCGCGAAGAAAAGAAAAATAGTACACACTCAAAAGATGGATTCACCTTGCTAGTTCAGCTATTGCACCAAAAACCAAGCGAACTCTCAAGCCGCAAACAACGCTTGCCAAACGACAACAATAGAGTTTTCGGTATGCAAAGCTTTACACAATGTGTGTAACCATTCGATTGATCTTGCCACTTGCCCGTCCTATTATTATTACGGTATGAACGGGGGTACCCGATTTCTACTGCTTCTAATCGTACCCGTTCTTGTGTCATCCTCTAACCCAACCTACTAAACGCATAAAGTCTGGTGTAACAAAGTTCGGTTGTTCCTAATAATGCACATTGTCCTGGGACACGAAAGTGACAAACCAAACCATAGAGAATGCTTGCTAATATCTCAAGCTCTTCTACCCGGCTTGTTAGAAAAGCGAGCATCGAAATCTGCAATGACATGCGCGCGTATCTATACAATCGCAGGTGAAGTCGTTCAAGTTCGAGCAGATTTTTCTCACTTAACCACGCGAGTTAATATTTGACAGATGCAATTCTTCATCTGCATTTAATAAACATAGAATATGTCACTTTCCTCGGTAACCGGGTGTCTGCAGGGTTCTTCAGCAAGCGGATATGACAACTATGATGGTCTGATCTTTGCATACTGCATGCATCACGCAAGAGAACATCTTGCTATATTTTAATCTTATGACATGTGGTCTGGAAGTACAACGTGGCAAGAAACTAAACGTTACATGGTCCTATCATAGCGAGATGAATGACAAGACTGGCCGCAGCTGATTTGTTAATATAGTTGATTTGATCCATCTATGTCGCGATCACCATCCGTCAGTCGTGGTTGCAGATAATGCATTTGCCGATAAGAGCATCCAACGAGTTCATTCCACTTTACTCCATCGGACTAGTTTAAAGGTTCTTATAATAAATCCATTCTATATTCAATCGATGATATTTCTGTTCCCAAACACAAGGATTAACAACAAACTCGCACATTATAGTATTCTCCGGTCGCTGTCTGTCAAGAGTGTCAACCGCCAATACTTGCCGATAGCGTTAACTTCGTCATCTTGCGTTATTTCTAGCAAGCCGGCCTATGCGCGGACACGCCCAAATGCCAATGAGCCGAGCCTGGTAATTAATGTGTCGGAAATCCATCCTCGCCTCCGAGTAAAGAGTGATCATGAGGTGGTTCATGATTCTATGGATAAAAGAGGTTATAGTAAGATTATGATGACATAGAAGACTGACTTGAATGATGTAGCCTGATAAGATAGTTGAGAACCCCGACACATTCCAAAGAACAATCTATTATACTACGAAAGAAGGATCGCTTTAGCATATAATATTGGCAAACGGGGTGTAATAAAAATAGCGACAATAACCTGATTTCTGATGGATATGCCTCCCTACGATGGCCGACTTCTAGCACAAATTCTTACTCCATAGTCAGCTTCGAATCTTATTCTTCTCTTGGACTTTTCAGAAAACTGTATTCTAATTGAAATATTGCCACAATGAGACCCGATACCATGATGAATGATAACCAAGGCAATTTCTTTTTACCAAGGAGGTGATAATCGTTCTCAAGAATAGGATTTTTGACGATTGTCATCAAACTCTAAAGGATAGATGTGGAGTTATTACGGTTATAAAGTCAATACACACTGTAAGTCGAACTGTTGGGGACCATGCATTTTAGTCCATAATATCGATCTGTGATCGCGTGTAATGGGCAAATTGATCTCGACAGTATAGTAGCATATATGCTTATATTATGCTATCAACGCAGTTGGGAATATTATATATTTGCAACCAGACTTCATAAGATATATATATAATGACTTACTTGAATGTTTGTAAATGAAGTTTCTACTGTTTCCTCGGATGACTGATATGTCGCTTCCTTTGCACAGCTGATCAAAATTGCGTCCGGACAGAGGTCGAGAGCCATAGTTTAAAAATCCATCATGTATTCTTTCAGTTGGTACTAATTCGTTTTCCCCGACTTGTTGTGTTTCGAGGAGTAAGTATATTAGTAAACTAAATGCTACCAAGTTTTCCCCAATACAATCCTCAATCGAACTCAGTCCTACTTCGGTAGAGACACTTATTAGCTTAATAAAGACCCACAAAACCTCAATCGAACTCATAACGCTTATTCTGCTGTGATGAAAGACCAGCGAGCGTAAAAAGGTTCGTATCGATCGAAAATTCTGATGGATCAGAAAATCAATGCACTATTCAAATAGCGATAGTTTACTTGTTGTTTGGACTGGAAACACTAAAGATCCGGTCAGTAATGGCTCGTACGCTCACGAGGGCATTCCTGCTAACAGTTACGAGTGGACTATCATCTCTACTTTCTACTCTCATTAAATACAAACATTTACACGCTTCCCCTCCCCACTGGCCCTCTTCATCATATATTACCTCCCTCATCTTTTCCAATTAAATCTTATAAATATGTAGGCCTCCCTGCTGGCCACTTCTTTATTGCACCTCTGTCCTTTAGATAGGAATTTGTAGCATAAATATCGTAGGCTACACTACAATTATGTGTAACTATCCATATACACGTGATAAATCCGACAACCGTCAACAAACAGTCAACAACTGATGAACTACAATTTGAGGAAACTTACAAGTGTGGGTTTATCTTATAATTATATAACAATACTTTACTCAAAATTCTTATAACCACTTTCAATTATTCACGTTTACATAAAATACCCATTATGTTCGGCCCTTTATCACGTGGTTATTGTTCACATACTGGATTGTATTTCGAGAGCCGTTAAACAGAATGATTCCAAACTCGTTGGAAATTGCTCCCCCGAAACAATCGCGCCATTCAAAAAATCCGCAGTTTTCAGTTAGCCTTTAAAGCCCACTCCAAAAACTTGCTATTGCCTGCATATAATCTGCTTAAAAATCAATGATTAAAAATGTAATAAGTAATGTTGGTCGTAGGGTCAACAACACTACAATACTGGCCAAGCAACAGTATTAACATCACAATAAACGCGCTCCTGGAATGAGTCGGGCCGTGAGAGAAACAGCATTATTTGTTTCACATGGCATAATAATAAATAGTCGCCTAGCTTCACATTAAAATAATGGTCAAATGTTATTAAAATTTTCATCTCTCGTCGTTTGCTGTATTATACTCAACGATTTTGAACCCACCAATAGTCAGCGTTTTAGTAGCTCTTTAGAATCTTGTTGCTGTTGTAGGCATTATTCATCAGTGGTTCATACTACTCGATATAACGGATTTTGCTTATTATACGGACCTTTTAAGTATTATAGCGGACTTTTATATTTAACAGCAATATAACCGGATTTGCCCGAACACATTTATCTCGATATCCGGAAGGAGCCAAATGCTTCATAGTTCCTTCTAACCTGGAGGGATTTTTAGAACTAAAAAATTATTCTTCTTCACTCTCTTCTTCATAATCTTCCTCATCATCCTCACTTCCCTCTTAACGGATTTTGTGTCAATTAAATATAAGAATAATATTATTTTCCCATTTTCTGCTACACGTAACGTTACCCGTACAACAATCCAGCATAGTTGGGACCGAACGGAAATTCTTCCTATAACTCAACCTGCAATGGGTTTCTTACCCTTGCAAACAAACATGGTGGAAAGTTTAGAAACTGAAACTTTAGAATGGGAATTGGAAGGCCTTATTAATAACCAACTCACTATCGGTAACGGAATTTATTACCATAGATGAGAATATGGAATATGAAGGGGTATCGGTGTGGGGGAGAAAAGTGAAGAACTTAGTGGGTGTCCATTCGTGAAGCACTTGCGTAACGCTGCTTATAAGTCAGAACGACTTGGATGTCGATGCTTTGGAAAGATTAAGAAAGGAAATTGTTATGAAATGCATTGAACAAAGTTGGCAGACAAATATTGACGAGTTTTTTACATTCGAGTCTTAAATTGAATTTTCGTTTATGTCACGCATGTTATAACCGTGAATAACAATATTAAAGGCCCGTCGTTATTTGCAAGTTTATAAAACTCACTGTTTGATGTAACGGACTGTCGATATAACGGACAAAAGTGCTGGTCCCGAGCAGACCGTTATATCGACTTTCACTGTGTATCACCAATTTACCATAGTCAATATTCGAGCAACGTGTTATCTTTCAGACATTTTCTCTTCTTTGGGGATTATTCAATAGACATACCATCAAAAGCAGCTCCAGAGATTCACATTAGCTGTGCTTAATCAAAATCAATAGACATACTATCAAACAGTTAAAATTTCCAACAGTTTATAGACGATCATATTGTTGTAGTTAACTCGGCGTTGACAAGGATACTGTTAACGATTGCGATTCACTTAGACTGTTATAAGTTGAATGAATGCTTTTCAAGTACAAACAACGCTTATGCATACCTGACAACTTTGTCTGTGCCCAATCGTCTCGCTGTAAAAGATAGAGAGGGTTACGATGGCGGGAATCTGTTAAGGAGAGTGAGATATAGAGATGGTTACTATTATTATGGTGGAATTACAATATGAAGATGCGCAGTATTGGGTTGCACTTGTGCAGATTTGACTGTGATTGTTTATTTCCTCAAAATCTGGTAACAAATCTAATCTTATATTGCACATAATAGCAAACAATTACGTGTTTGTTTATGTCAGCAGCATAAGTGTATTATAGAAAGTAAAATAAAATTCATGGCATGCCAAAAAAGGCTTTGTACCGGCTCATGACAATTTCTTTCATAAATAGTTGCACGAGTTAAAACATCATATTAGGATATCCACTGTATTGTATCGTGCAACATAAATGCGTTTGATTGTTTTGTTATTGAAACGCGGCAAACTTGTGTTTAAATATCTGACAAACGGTAGTGAACGCCGTAACATAAAGCAAGCATTTTAAATTTAGTGTATGTCTTACAATAGCTTTAGAGCTTACGTCATGATATTTGCATAAATTAGTAAAGTGATAGAAAATAACAAAGTCTTAGATCCAGACAAATTTAATAATAAAAGCAATATAAATTCGGATGTTTACTCTTTTGCCCTAGAAATTTTATGCGCACATGTCTTGAAAAGAAACCATTGTTGCAGATCAAAGCTTAGTACTATTCGGGATTTATGTTTGTCACTCAAGCAAGCTAGCGAAATATGGATATAGAATAATCTGGAATAAACTCAAGGCTAAAGTATCCGTTCCAATAACACTCTTTTCGAATGCAAGCACTGGTTTATAAATATAAACAATCCACAACACAATTCACATCTGGTTCATTTGTGTGGTTCTGCAAATTGCATTAAAGTAATGATGTTGCTAAGCAAGATAAATCGACCTTGCGGAAATAGAAAAATCCATTTGGCAGCACAATTTTACTTTTTCCAAGTGATGGGATTTTGGTTAACAGAAGCTCTTCTTTTTCGTAACACATAAGCAAGCTTACTCTTGAGTTATGCGTTACCGAAGGGGATACTGAAATATATATTTTATTTAGGGGCCTAATTTTTGTCCTCTTTTTGACGCCACTTGCCACTGTGAAAATAGGCTATTATAGTGGAAGATTCTTTCCAATTAGTAATACTATGACGTAAGGTTTTACGGTATGCCTTTTACTTTATCAGACAAGTGCCGGTTGGCTTATTTGTCGTACGAAGACTATCGCAAATCAAAGTAACAATTTTTAAGCATGAATTGATCATAGTTTAATTCTGATACACACGTGTTTATCGCTATTTGGATTCAATTACCCATTTGTCGGTCTTTTTGAGGGTAAGTTTTTCGTTGACCGAGCAGAATTTACTGTTGAAAAATGTTGATTGGATGATCAGCAAATTCTGTACGACATTCACGCCCAACTTTCGAAGTAAAATTGTTACGTTATTTTATAGCCAATTCACGGTTGGGGGCACAATTTCTCTTATTAAAGTGGTTTGATAAGTGTTACCGCTTATTTATTGATCGTAAAATTGCTTAGTACAAAAGAAACTGCTATATTAGCAACGGCATTAGAAAATTTAATCATATGCATATAAACGACTAATCGACTGACTGGCTTTAGAAAAAACACGTTTTTCTTAAACATAAAATATAAACGAAATTTTTTAAAATTTAAATCAAATCTTAATAACCAAAGATGCATATTTAAAACTGTTATCATAAAAGCGAAACAATTACAAACAACCAAGAAAAAAAAACAATTAGAATATTTCTTACCATATTGAAGCACAAACTCATATCAATTGATGAAAATGGTAAATTATTCCCAACTTCCATAAAGACTGCTAGGATATGCATTCGATGCGGTATTGTTCGTATCCGTCAGTCTACGTGGAGCAGGCACGTGAGATATAACATCAATACTAGGGAGGGGAAACGAGTTACGGCTGTTATCCGTATAGCCGCTGCTTGGACAAGGTTGCGATAGTGTGGGTGGTAATAGTGAATATGGATATGGCAACTGGTAAGGATGTTGATTATAATTTTTATCGACGTTTCCGCAGAGAGAATGTTGATAAGGTTCCGTGCAAGAATTTCTCATCGGAGCAGTTCTCGATACATTTGGTGGAGGATGTATCGGTTCTTTAGCAGACATATAACCCGGCGAATGTGTGGATCCCGATTTCGAAAACGGCAGACGAGGCTCAGGCTGTCTTTTTGGGATTTTTTTGTTGACCTCGTTATAATAGCTGCTGGCCTCTTTTGCGAGCTGCTCATAGTGTTGAACGATCATATCGGGTTGTTCACGCCATGATTTGGATATGAGCGGAGACAAGTCTCTCATCGGAAGCCTATAACCCTTGGAGTGCAGCTGTTGCACGTACCTCATCCGATATATCATGAAAGCGTTAGGGGGTTTTGTCGCCTTTTTGCCTTTCTTGTTCTGTTTATCAATGAGATCTTTTGCATTAATCTGTGGCGGAAAAGGAACGATTATATGAGGCAAAATAGGAGGGTGCCTCTGCTGACAAGCAGGCGACGTCATTATTTGAGCCTCGTCGATAATTACCCAGCGGTGCTGGAGATTATCAGGCGTATACGTAAAGGGAAAATAATTATCTGCCATGGGACGAAGTTCGAAGTTGGGATGGGAAAAAGCAGAGAAGAAAAACATGGTTTTTAAGTAGACTGTCTTGATGGGTTGGACACGGATATTACGTAAGTAAACAGTAACTGACCAACTCGATGTAAGATTCATGCAAGTGAGTGACATAGATGCCGTATACCGATTTCCTATAACAAGTTTTAAGACATCACTTTGTTGGCTTGTGATAGGGTTAAAACTTTCCATATATAATACATTAGTACTAAAGGCAAAGAGTACAGCATGCATTTAAGACTTGAAGAGAGCTACAGATCGCAGCTGCAGTTAGCGGTCGCACAATTCCAAAAATACATTGGCTTATCGCAAATTAAAGTTGATAGATGCAACTGCACTGATCAATTTACGATTAAACATCAATCAATTTAAAATTTACGCCTTTTATTAGATTTTTGATGGTGCGCAGAAATACATACTTAAGACAGCAAATTGGCAATTCTATGACACGGCCCGCAAACGTGAATATTACAATAATACTCTTTAAACAGTGCAAATATGGCTATAAATAGTATTTAAACAATAATAATTATTTTGTTACAATAACCTGACGCTCCCATTGTTGCTGTACATCAAACACGTGAAACAATGTTACATATGACGCGAACACATAACCAAGCGCTTGCCGCGTTTCATTATAGTAGACAGCGATTAGGCCTTGTGGTATCTGGAGCTAGAAAATAGCGAGTCTACGGTTAAATAAATAAACGTGGGTACTGAGAATTAAGTTACACTGTTAGCCACAAGACGATTGATTGGATCTCGGGTTTAGTCGGTCTAAGAAACCATATATTTGCATGGTACAATAGATTAGCAAGATGCGTTACATAATGAAAACAAAATAGTAAACAAGGAACCAAATATACAGGTTAGTAAACGAGTACACATGCATTGTATTTGTAACTCCGTCTGCCCAGAACCATTTAGAGAACAATATTAAGCAAAACCAATTAAAGTTAGAAGTAGTGTCCATATCATAGGGCGATTGTACGCACCCATCGTCTTGTCATCTAGATCCAAACGTGTACGGTTTGTCTAGTTGTTCGGGAAAGTCGAAGAAAAGTTTAGAACGTTCTTGATTTATTTTGTATAACAGAGATAGTGATTGAATGGCAGTAAATAGTAAAGTATGGTTACGTCGCACAACCCATTTTTATAGGTCACAAGAATGACAGTAATGATTGACGATAACACTGAGACGATTGCAAAGAATAACTTTTAGATCTTTTTTTCTGTTATACAGAACCAACCTCCTTTCCCGTCTGACCATGAATTATGTCTGTACAAGTCACAAGCTGACAAGAAACATCCAAATGATTTGCATACCGGATACTTACCACTGGCTCATGCATGTTTTGTCAAGTCATCGTTATCTGTTGAGCGAGTAAAGCAATTGCCCAAAACACACATATATTTAACAGAAAATACGTATTTATTCGATGTGCCATTGTGATCTTTTTGTAAATAGAATTAACTCTACCATTTCCTGTTGATACAAACCGAAAGTTAATTAACACAACGGTCATAACATCAATTGTAATAATTTTAAGAGTATAATACAACATACGGGTAGGAATTAATTGAGATCTAGACAGACACAGTTCCCGATCGTGAAACGACTTAACAATGAAAAAGAACCCATTCATGCACAACACTGCATTAATTAAATTAGTTTTGTAACCGACTGCTCTTGATTGACGTACCCCGCTTCTAAATTAATGTTAATTATGTGCATTGTAAATTACAACCATTAAAACTTTACACTAGTCTTTCTCATACGCCAAAAAAAAAAATTCAAAAAACGAAGCAAACACAAACAAACAATAGCACAAACATGTAATATTTATTTGAAAGCATTTTATAGTTATTTGTTGGCAGTGAAACAATATAATTTAAAGGTTATTAGTTAGATCTGTAAAAAAGGAAGTTTATTTTATTTTTTGCAATGTATTATTAAAGTACACCACTTGGACGACAATGTAATGGTTGACAGTTGGTTTATTACTTATCTTTAACAACGTTTTGTCCCTCCTAATATTGGCGTTTAGATTATGACTAAAAAGGTCAAGTTTTCAGTTCTTAAATTACTGGATTATTTCCTGGGGTGGTTTTTATTTAGAATTTCACGCGTTCTCTATGTCATTGCTAAATCGCCTAACCAGACATAGTTCGGAGTTTAAACAAAATTCAAAGTCCGCAGTTTTCCAATATAAAATTTTAATTGTGAAAAGATAGCCGAACAAACGATTATGCGTAAATCATCAGGTACAACCAACCAAGGTTACAAGTAAGACTCACTCCTCGGCATTGAGGGGGGTTTGATTATGTAACACTGCAAGTGTGTAGACATCAAAATCTATGCAATACATAAATACATAAATACATGTAACCCCACTGCGACTCTGAGCCAACTTTTTTTTTTATTCTGTACACTGCAACGTATATAACTCTAATGAGATAACCAACTAGATCGGTCTGTTACGCCGCCAGTCATGACTCAGGGCGTTTAATTAGATAAATGGGGTAACGACTTTCTAAATGAAGTAATGCCTCCCTTTTTTGATTTGGTCAGGTGAAACGCTATTTATTCTCTTGCTATGTTTCTATTCAGTCGACACATACACGGAAAGTGTCGATCACATGAAAGACGAACTTTTCAAATTTATTTAAAATACCAATTAAAAGTTTTGTTTTTATATTTACATTGAGCTGTTAATACCAGTCTTATAGAACGAAAATGGACACGTATTCCGATCTCTGGCAATCATTATTGTAGTAAATCGGCGTTTGTTAAGGATACCCCCCCTTCATTCTCAGCCGAATTGTTGGCATTTTACTTTTCTTAAATGCATTTCAAATAAAAGTTGAATGTAATCAATACTAATACTATTACCCAGCTATTACTCTCAACTGTAACAGGCTTCTTCCTTGCCATACGATGTAAACCAATTAATGAGAAGCATCCTTCATAACAATGAACATATTCTAAATTATTTTGCTCAAAAAGGGATACGAATAGATTTTTCCTATTAATATATTGTGCTTATCTATCTCATCCACTGTGCTTAAACCGAGACAACATAAACTTTTACCCGGTTTTAAGGTTTTTAATATAGCTTTTGTCACTCCTAATACTAACCCATCTTGTAGATTTTGTTGGGAAGAGGCTTTGATTTATTAATTAGAAATGAAAAATCAAGAATTTCGTGCAACAGCACAGACGCCGAGATTTGCTTTTTTTGTGTGCATGTCGATATGTGGTTGCAAAGTTTACTATTACTATTTTGATCGACAGGAATAAAATATACGCCCTCATCTCAATCCTTCACTTTCTCTCAGAGATTTTCCCTAGATTTTCCCAACAGGTTGTTGGTTTTGTGTGGCGGTGGTTTTGATGGTTGACTCGTGTTTGGTCACCGGACCAGTATAACATGCGTGGAGCGTAACACTCATATCGAACATTTCCAATACACAAACAGAAGCGTATTGGTGTATAGCTAACATTCTCCTTCTCCAATCATCTTTGGTTAGTTGTATTATTAAATTTAAGGTGAACGACGAGGAAAATGGTTTTGCCTTACTTCCAGAAACGCCCGTAGTACATGTTCTACTGTATCAAATAGAACATCTTTTGAGGGTTTGAAGTGATAGATTGTGAAAATGAGCAATTTTTACCAGGACTTATTTGTAACTCTCTGTTTGACTTCGAGAATTGGTTCGATTCTCGTTTTGTGCGACACGGGTCATAGTGATAAATCGGGATACGAATTTGTAACAATTACATCACAAGTTAGAAATTGGAGATTCGGTTTTTACGTAATTGAACATATGACAACAGCAAGAAGTGAAGCTCACCTTTATTTGGGGGTAAGGGCGGGAGAGGGAGGTTTAACAAAAAAGTCACAATAAAAACAATGCATCATAAACAATTTTACTTGCTGTATTAAATGTCTATTCCTCCGCTGTGATATCGAACAAGTTAAAAGTGGTTTAATTGCTGTCTGGTATTAATTGTATGTTTACCATAAGCCGACAAATGAGTTTTTGGGTGTGAAAAATCCGATATTCAAGTCTGCATCAGCTATTGGATATTGTATCTCATGTTCATAATTCGTAAATGATAAGGAGGGGTTTGACCGGTTGAAGCAATGCGATTTAAAAAAAAAAAACAAAACAAAAAAACCTCAAATTGTGATTTCATTCTGCATTATAATTTAACGTGCGAAATAGCAAGTTATTATCTACAATTGCTTAGATTTAGCAAGATATTACTTTTTCGGTTGCCAGTATCTAAGGCCGATGAATGAATAAGTGGGTTGGTCTGCTAAGTACTGCAGTTTCTGCTCCATAGGACATTTTTTATGAACACAATTTTACTATCGTTAGAACTTTATTGTTGCCTTGCCAGCGTGCTTAATTGAGGGCATTGTCTTGACTTTCTTTTTCTTTTTTTCCCCACCCCGCAAATTCACGCTTTCCCTTTCTGATATAAGTTTTGTAAGTCGAATTAAAGAATCTCCTCTTGCTAAAATTTGTGTTCTAGATTCAATTACATAAAACGACATTCAAATGGACAATAGAAAGTCGATGCTTTCTTTTTTGCATACAATACCTTCCGTTGATAAACCATTTTACATAATCACATATAGGAAAATATTATTACATTGATAGCATGTTCCATAGTGTGCGTTGGTAAGGGAAAAAGAGTTTATCAACATCCTTGGGCTTTATCTGAAGAATTATAGTATACTTAGTCTTATAATGTAATTATTTGACGTTTGTAGTTATATTGATTAAAGAATGTGTTTTAAGATCAGAAGCTAGAAACAGCATGTTTCATCAAAAAGAAATTGATCTTTGCATTTATGGCACTCGTAACTTGGTGATAGCCATTAAGCAAACTTTTGTTGTTCGTGAGCTTCCGATAAAACTGGCTGAATTATATAGCGTACATGCAGACTATAACA